CGGGCAGCGGTTCGGGCTCCGTGCGCCTCACAGCTGCTCTGCGGCACCGGGGGGCATCTGTGATCCTGGGGCTGGGCCCACAGGTTGGCTTGGTGACAACCCAGAGCCACGTTCAGTTCCACGATCCCAAGACAAATGGATTTTTAATTACTGTCTGAAAAGCGATCCACTGAGTGTCTGAAATCTTGCTATTTTAGCAAGGGAGCAACTGATGGCATGCACGGGCTCTGCAAACGTCATTGCAGTTTGAGACTTGATGTTTCTTGTCCTTCTTTAGTTTCAGATGCTCCTCTGCTTCCCTGACATCCCATTCCAGAGCAATCATGTTCTTCGCTCGCCTTCTCTGTGTTTGGCAGGAATACATCGCTCTTCCAGAGGACTTTCATTGGCAGTATCTGCTTCAGCTTTCGGGGCTAGACTGCTCCACCTCAAACCCATCCTGCTTTACTCCAGCCCCTCTCTTGTTCCAGCTTCTCCCATGGCGCTGGAACATTTGCAGGATTAGGCTTCATGTCAATCTTCTCGAGAAACCTGTTGTGTGAAGGAAACCGGAGATCTTCAAGGTGGTTGGGCCTGGGTGATTAGTTTCTCCTGGGGGATTTCTGCACATGCGCGGGCACCAGATTAAGAGAGCCTTGCAATTAAGAGACAGACGGGTCTTAGTGGCTTCTCACTGTGCATATCCTCCTGTGGATCCCAAATCAAGCTGTCGCCAGGTGTCCAGGTGTAACGCTGAGATCACCCGGTAAAGAGCTTCTTCCCAGGGGACCCCTGCACTGAGTTTCTGCTGTGTGCTCAGTGCCAACTACCTGTTGCCCTGTTTTGCTAAGGGAAAAATACTGTTCCAGCAGTCGGCTGGAGGGACCGTGCGCGAGCCAGGCTGGCCGGAGCCAGGGCTTGTCCTTCTGCTCCAGACAAGGGGGTTTTTGTTTGTTTGCTCCAGGCTGCCAGAGGGGAAGGTTTCCTTGTGCTCCTGAGAGCTGGCTTGAGCAGGGCGGGGAAGTCGTCTCCAAGCCTTCTGAGTAACGTTGGGAAAACACAAATGAGCCTTGCTAACGGCTTGGGGTTTTGCCTAGTTGACACCTCTAACAGCACCTCCTGCCTGTTCCAAGACAGCCCCAACAGTTTCTGATACGAAATTTTCTTTGCTTCAGCCTCCTGAATTAGAGGGGGAGCTGGGTGTCCATTCACGTGCAGCCTTCTCCCTGGCTGGGTCTGGGGTGCTGGTTTCAGCAGAAAACTCTTCTGAATAACAAGAATAATGAGCAACAAGTTGTTCAGGAGTCACAGGGCCTTTACTGCCTGCTGTCAGCTGCTGGGCTGGGATTTGTGGGGCTGTAACTGGTGTCACCTGCAGCTAAAAACACCCATCGCTTACCGGAGCGCTCCAGCAACGCAGCGGGCAAGCTCTCCCTTTGTCCCGGATATTTTTGAATGCCCTATTTCAGCGGGAAACTTCATGTTTTGGTATTTGAAAAGCCCTCCAAACGTCCCCTGTGGCTTTGAAATGATGCCATGGTTTGGAGGCTTGGAGCTGTGCCTCCAGTTATTTTTGAAAAGAACAGGAACCTAAAAATAACCATGTGTACTTTTCCAGGCAGAATTAGCTCTTTTTTTTTTCCTTTCCTTTTTCCTTTTTATTTTTTTCTATTTATTTGTGAGCCAAGCGTTTGCACGGAGGCTGCTGGAATGCAGCGCTCTGCGTGTGCATTTCTGGCTCTGTGCAGCCGGTCAAACCGAGCGGTGCCGGGGGCGCTGCCGGGGATGAGCGAAGTCCTCGCGCGAGGAAAAGAGCCCTTGACCCTGCGCAGCGCCCGCGCTGCCGCGTAACCGATATCCCCCTGCTGCCGCGGCGTCCCGGGGCTGCGACCTGCCCCGTTGCTTTGGGAATCGGACACTGTCCAACCTATTTGTGCAGTGTCCGGCGGGCAAATTGTCCATCTGGAAAAACCTGAAGAAAAACCTGAAGAAAAAGCGGCTTTTTCTGCCTCTAAATTTAGAACTGATGCAGCCTGGCGGCTCTTTGAAGCCGATTGCAGGGGAGCTAATTATCCTTTTAGATAAAGCACGGCTCCTGCATTGTCTAATCAGATGAAAATATCTGCATTACAGATGGTCCCTTCCATTCATTATTCACTAAGGAGATTAAGTTTCTCGGAGAGGGAGAACATGATGGGGGTGGGGACGCTGATTGGAAGAGATTGAGAGCATCCCCGTGGCTATTGCTGCTCCGCGCCGCGTATCCCCGCGCGACCCCAGCGTATAGGCTGCTTTCCCCGGCTTAGTTAAAGCAGTATGGGGCATATACAGGGAAACTGAGTGCTGGGGATAGTCAGAAAGCTCTTGCACTCTGTGGGCAGCAGCCAGCTGCTCGAGGAATCGCTGTCTTGCTTCCAGAGGGGAAAAAATAGTTTCCTCCCAGCCACAGTTGACCATCTGGTTATTTCCAAGTTCTGGTACTTTTCCTGGTGAGATTTTTTCCCTGAACTGTTGGCCGTGTTGGAGCTAGGGGAGTGCACTTCATTATTCCTGAGGTTAGTCTCCTGTTTCTGCACGAAAACATTTTACAGCCACTGGAAATTGCCTGGCTGGCTTGGAGGGCGGCAGCAGAGCCGCTCCCTTGCAGGGTTCTTGACCCGTCTCTGGCCCAGGGATCCTTCCCGTTCGTTCCGCTCAGCCCTCCTCTTCCTCCGGTGGAGCAGCTCGGCTCCCGCACCAGCCAGATTTCCTCCCCGTTGCCGTTTTTCGCTGTCCCCGGCCGCAGCGAGCCCTGCCCGCCGCAGCGTGCGCTCCCTGCAGTGGAGAGGAGCCGCCGCGGGCGCCGCGCGGCCGCTGAGCAGTCGCTGCCGCCGCTGTGATGTTCCCGGTGTTGCCATACAAACCAGGGCCTTGTTCCTCCTTGGTGCTACGCTCGTTAATTAGGGAGTTGCACATGATTTTTCTTTCTCCTCCCCCTCCTCTCCCCTCGCAAGCCTCCTCCTGCTCCACTTGTGACACAGCAGAATAGTGGCCCTGTGCAGCAAAGCGCCCTGTGCAGCGTCAACCTGTGTTGTGATGTGACGTGACGTGCTCCCATCAGCGAGTTATTCCATATATCACCGTGGTCCTTTTCCAACAGGGCCTTTATGTGCTCCCTAGCTTCCAACTCAAAGGTGCTGGGAGCGTTCGAGACGCGTGTCTGGCACCACTGATCAACGAGGTGCCTCCCGCTCCCTTTAGAGGAAGCCCAGACAGGCCGGGGCCTCTCCCCACCCCAGGCAGAACCTCTCTGCGTCGATCCCCCTTGCAAGAAGATGGGATCTTGTTTCTCACTGGGGACTTGAGGAGGCAGCTTTGGATGTTTATGCTATGGATTCTGCAGCACAGAGAGCTTTTTGTCTTATGTACTGCAGAGCTTTAGTGAGTAAAGCATTTGTAAGGGGCTGGTTATACCCTGGAAGATCCTTGCCCTTTTCTCCTGTTTTAGAAGAAGGGCTGAGTGCTGAGAGCAGAGAGGAAAGGACATCCAAAGCAAAAACCTGGCTGCACAGTTGGGGGTGTTTTCTCTCTTGGGTATTTCCTAAAGACTCGGTGGCCTCATTTACAATAACATTACTGAGTTAATAAAGCATATTTTGTCTTTACAGTAATTTACAGTAATATTTACAGTAATATCACTGAGTTAATAAAGTGTGTTTGGCTTCTCCAAGCAAGACGAGATACGCCGTAGAAAGGAACAGTGTTAACTCTCACGTGTGGTTTTTGTTTTGTCTTTTGTTCCTTTTTTTTTTAAGCTGGAAAGAGGTGACTTCCTGTCAGAAGAATGGAGAGAGAGAATTGCAAACACAAGGTACCGTAAGCAGCTGAACGCCGCGTTATGAGCCGAACATTTCGAGGGTATATAATGGAAATTGGGAGGCTGGCCAGCTTTCTCTATAGAATTTCCACAGCAAACAGCCAAAATCTTATCTGCCACCTCTCATACTGGCTTCTTTAGATCCAGTTTTCCAACTGACCGGAAAAATAGGATTAAGTGCATGTTCCTTGATACTACATGGAAGGGTGTAACAGGTTATAGAGAGAATGACCCCTCTTTTGAATATCCTTATAACTAATGTCAGTGACTTGGCAAAATATTAGTTACATAGAGCCAGGTTCACTTTCCATTAAGAAAAAAAAAAAAAAGTGAGGCTTTAAATTGGGGAATTTCATTAAACTGATGGTTTTTGAATCCTTATATCTGTCAAGATGTGCACAGAGCCCTTTTTTACAGTAGTAAAGAGGGAATAAAGTTAAAGAATGAAAATATTCTCCTATATTTTAAAAGGTTTTGCATCCTTTCAGCTTTAAGTCACAAGTCTACGGGTTCAGCCCCTTCCAGGGCCACCCCGTTTGGTGGGGAAGCAGAAGACAGGAGTGGAAAAGCCTCTGGGAGGTGCTCAGGGCTGGGGCAGGTCGCGGGTTGCTGCCAGCACAGTGCTCGAGAGCCCTCCCTGGAGCAGGGCTCTGCCAGGCTGGTGGCCTTTGCGTCACCCGCCCCCCTTAAACGTCTGGCTTGGGGACAGCCTCGTCCCGGCCCTGCACTTAGCAGCGTGGTCTGCCTCTGTGGCTCGCTAAATGCACTCCCCTCTGCTGCTTTGATTCCTTTGGAAGAAATTTTGCTTTTTCTTCTCTAGACTGAGTGCATCTTGCTGCAGGGGGAAGTGCTGGTAGATGTTTGTTTTGCATGGTACCTGCTAGCCGTCCTCTTGCTCTCTGCTACAGATATTCATAAAGCAGCAGCTTTTTGTTCACAAATGCAAGGCGTTTGGGTTTGTCCCGGCAGTTGAGCATCTGCTCTTTTTAATGAGGCTACACATTGCCGGATAAATTTGCATTGGAGCCGTCCAGGCTCCTCACGTAAGTGGAAGTGTCGCCCTCGGAGCGGCCGCGGCCGCAGGGAGCCCGTGGGCCGTCCCGCGCTGCTCCAGTGTTGCCGCCGCGCGTGGCCGGGGACAGCGGCGCGCGGGGAGCACAGGGATGCGCTCAGCGGGGACGAGGGGCTCCCGTGGGTCCCTCACGTGCACACAAACATACTGCCAGATCGAACGCTAAAGAATATTCCTGGCAGGTTTCCTCTTTTTCCCTTCCTTCCCTGGATGTTTTCTAGTCACATTAATATGCTTGGCTGTTCTGCAAGGCCTCTTTCTTGGCACGCGATGGGAAGGAGGAGGAAAGAGCCCCTGCTAGCCTCACTTGCCAAGCAAGACTTCCCAGATTTCTAAGAGCAAGGCGTTAGCAGGAATAAGACTTTTTCCCCCCACTTATTGGTGGATGTGCATTTTTTTTTCTTTTTCCAATTGGGGTTTAAACAGCTTTGGCTGCTACTCTTAAAGCCACTGTCTTTTGGAGCTTTTTGCGTGTGGGGGCACTGGAAGGGGGCTTTGCAAGCAGACCTGCTGTAAAGCAATTGATTTTGTTGAAACAACCTACAGGAAAGGTCCAATGCAACTTTTACACTCGGGGTGCTCAATGGCTTCGCAAAGATGGGGAGGGCTCCTGTTGCGAGCTGCTGGGAAATGGGGGGCAAGGGCAGTTCTGCACCCAAAGCACGAGCAGACTTTCTGGTTCTTAAAAATACTCTTATTTCTTTAATCCATAACGTGGAATCGTTTGTGCGATTCTGCCTTTGTGCAGGGCTGTTTTCCAGGTGACCGATGTTTTTAAGGAGCAAAATAACCCACCCGTCTCGTTGAGAGATGTGGCTCCCCCGCTGCAGGGTAGGGTGAAGCACTGAGCCTAGGGCAGCGATAATGTGTGAGAGGTGTGAGCTGCTGCTTCACATCGTGAAGGAACAGCATAAAAACCGTCAGGGAAAACACGCCGGGATATTTAGCTGTGGTGTTTTTAAACAAAGGCAAAGAAATAATTTGGGTGAAGTCTTTGCTTCCTAGAACAGACTGTTTTGTTGTGCACTACTGTCGGTGCGTTGGTGGTAGGTAGTGTTGACCTCGGTGTGAGAGAGAACGTCATAGAATCACAGAATGGTTAAGGTTGGAAGGGACCTCTAGAGATCATCTAGTCCAACCCCCTGCACACGCAGGGTCACCTAGAGCACGTGGCACAGGGCTGCGTCCAAGCGGGTTTGGAAGATCTCCAGAGAAGGAGACTCCACAACCTCTCTGGGCAGCTTGTGCCAGTGCAAGAGAGATTTTAGACGTTGTTTCTGTGTTGAAACCTCTGGGCATAACTAATAAGTTTATGGGGCAAAACTCGGCGATAATATGAAAGGAATTGTAGGATGACAACTGTTTCTGCACAATCTGTGACAGCTAGAGGTAACTCTGTGTTTGAAACCATGCAAGAGGAAAACCAGCTTGCTGCCTGGAAGTAGCTGTATAATCTGGGATAAATAGCATTTTCTGCTCATACTAGTGACACTTGCAGCATGCTTTTTGAGGGGTAGTGGTGTATGCGTATATGCTAAAATGCTGCTTGTCTGTCCCTGTTTATTAACTAGACCATTATCTTGCAGTGTAATTTTTGTGAATAACTTTGCCTTTGGTCCTGAGGTGGATCACCAACTGAAGGAGCGCTTTGCAAACATGAAGGAAGGTAACAAATCGAATGTAAAACTCTTTTCCCTTGGCTTCCTGCTTGCTGCAGGAGCTCGTGGTGGTAAATGGTTTAGTTATAACCATCACAAGCCAGGTTGGTGGGTTTCATTCTGTTCCTTCTGGATGAGTTTCTGCACCACAATGGTTACTCCTTGGACTTCTTAATTGCAGTCTTAATGTATACTCCAATCCACATGGTCTTCCTCGTCTGCAATAGCTTTGCTTGTTAAGATTTTATGCAGGACTTTGTGGGCTAGGAGGACCTACTGCTTCTTTCCTACCTGAAGGTCTTTGGATCCTCCAAACACCAGTGGCAGGGAAGGGGCTGGAGGATCCTTATAACTGTTGAAGCTGCAAGGCTTCCTGGCTGTACGTGCAGGCATTCATAAATCTGGTGTCTGCAGTTGCATGCTGAATTTGATTGTTGGATTCTCCTGTTTCAAATTGCCCCTTTTGTAATCGAGTATGAACTAATAAGTGTTAAAATGTGGGCACTGTCACTGGCAACGTCTTCCTCTCGAGAAGATGCATCATGGATAGTAGTGACTCGAGTGTCCTGTAGTGCCACAGTGGCCCCTGAGGTGCTTGAGATACTCATGGGGTCTTTGTTTCTTTCAGCTTAACCACAGACCCCAGAACTTAATCTGTCTTCTCCGATTCTCCAGGTTGATCTTTTTGATTTTTCTTTTGTAGCAACTTGAGAGAAGTGGGAAGATGTGGCGAGTTCAAGAGCTCTGTGTAAAATGGAGACACCTGAGCTCTCACCACAGTTCTGCTTCATAATTTGCTCGGGCTCTCTGCCTTTGATTAAATGACCATAAATAGCTGTAAAATGGAGATTAACATCCTTTTTCTGAAATAAAAGGACTTTGGGGGCTTGTGTATAAAAGACCCTAACTAGAAAAGAGATAGCAGTGTTCCTAATTAAATTTTCTGTAGATTGCCACAGAGAGTTAATATGCTCCTTTTTCTGGAGTGTTTTTAAGATCTGTCATTTTTAAGTGGTCCTTGATGTGCTGCCTCATGGCTAGCTAACGGGATTAATGTATTCTCTTTCCTGGAGGCTGCCAGAATTAGCCTCATGATATATCTTTTTTATCCTGGTAAGGGGATAAAAATGATGGTGTTATTTGGGCTGCTCTTTCAGGCTGTGTACTGAGTTATATTCAATAACCAATCATTTCTAGGAGATACAGTGTTAACTGACTTTGTGATTTTTTTTCTTTTTCCAGGTGGGAGAATTGTGTCCTCAAAACCTTTTGCACCTCTGAATTTTAGAATAAACAGTCGAAACTTGAGTGGTATGATTGCCCTTTTTTACTTATTTATTGTTATTACGTGGTATTCATTATCTGACCCTGTATATAATGGGACTTTTTGCTGCTCTTTTAAGAGCTATATCAATATATAGAAAAATGCTGCTGTATTTATATAGCACATATGTGCTAAAGGCACAGGCATATTAAATAAATAAATCCGCCAGAAGACACGGACACCCGTTTCATGAGATTCATCCTGTTTTGTGTATGTGTCTGTAGTGCAGATGTTTCCCTAGCTTCCTCTGCCTGGGTGTGTTTTAGAGTTGAAGAGAAATAAGGTGTTTCTAGGGCGTGATTTATTACAAGCTACAAAAGGAGTCACAGTGACTAGCTTGCACAAAGGCTCCTTATTTCACAGCTGTCTAAATTTGGACAGGTAAATCCCACCAGTCACAATTTGTAGGGCCTAAAACCTGCCGTGTTTGTCTTTGAATGTCTTCTCTTCCCTACTGCAAAGCGATCAAACGGGCTCGGCCCATAAAAGCCCCGTTGCAGTATCTGCTTTATTGCCAGCATGTTTTCCCCCTCTGAACTGAGGAGGCTTCACGTTTGCTGGCGTTACCCTCTGCAGGGCTCAGAACTGCAGACTGAGCTTGTGAGAACACCCATCCTCCCGTGCTGCTGTTTGTGCTTCAGACTTTTCTAACTGCTTGTTGCTGAAAGCTTCACAAGCAGTAGGAAGCTTCAGGCTAGGGATTGCATGTATTTCCTATATCCAATGCAAAACCATCCCTAAAAAAACCCACTGTATTCCCCGCCTTCTGCAAACATGGCTAGCTGCATACCAGGTTACAAATCTCAGTCTCTGTATTCCTTTTTTTGGGCTGCTGTTTATGGAAACTCCTTTACAAGAATAGTAATTTGAAGGCTGTCGTTAAGACCTTTCAGTGAAGAAGTGCCTTAGTGCGGTCTGTTTTTGCGAAGCCCAAATTGCTGTGAGTGCCCTTTGCAGAGAGCACCTCAAAGCGCCCGGTTCTGGCGTGTTGCTGATACTGCCCTGTGCTATCTGATTGTTTGGAACCTTATTAACCATTTTGACCCTGTCTTTTAAGTCCATATCCAAAATGGATTGGCAAGCCAGAGTTAAAGAGAGACCCATGTACATATACACAATTTCTTGGCTTCTCAAGCCTTTTCTCTCCAGGCTTTTTCATGTCTTGTTTTATCACTCTTTGCTGTGTTTGGGATGTTACAGTTCCAAAT